GGCGGTTGTTCCCATCTCTTGATTCTTAGATTATTAGTTATCAGACCTTTTTGCTGGGCCAGTAAAAAGTAGAGAGAAGTATTTTTAAAACTTTTCATGGTGACTTTATGTAGTAGCTGTTTACTCTTGAGGTTTCCCATTTCCATTTTTAAGCTTATCTGAACTGTAAACACGAAAAACTAATGATTCATTGGTCAAGAAGCTACCATCTGAGGGCTCTAAAGTTTCTTTTAGATTTCCTTTTTTTGTTGTTTTTTTGTTTTTTGGTACTGGGGATCGAACTCGGGTCCTTGCGCTTGCACAGCAGGCGGCGAAACCACTGAGCTAAATCCCCGGCCCCTAGATTTCCTTTTTTATGTCATTACATTCAAAATTTGATTTATCAGGTAGCAGCAGCTTCATGCCATTATTGCATACAGATTAGCTTGTTTGTAAAATGGTAAGAGTTAAAACTGGTACTTTTACGTACATGAATTAAAATCTAGTATAGAGGTACCTCAGGAAATTTAGAGTATTATTGTTTTTACGTTACTTAGTATTTAAGTCTTTTCTATGAATGTTTAATAAAGGTCATCGTTGCTTTCTACATAGCCTAATTTTACATTAGACTACTTGTTTTCTTTTGTTTTAGTTTTTTGAGATTTGATCTAAGTTGCCCAGGCTGACCTCAGACTGGTGATCCTTCTGCTTTAGCTTTCTGAGTAGCTGTGTGTGCCACTACTTTTTGAAGAATGTCAAATGAAAATTTTAACATCAGTGTGTTAGGATTTAAAATTTTAAACTTGTTTTCATTATTAACTGTAGGTAGCACTAAGATTGGTATGAGCTTGTGATCAAAAGAAATTTTCTACTTTCAGTTTGGTCAAAATTTAGTTTGAAGTTTACTTTTAGAAAGAAATTTGCAGTTAAAAAAGCAATCTTGGAAATAATTGTTTTGATAATTCTCACCTCTTTTTTAAAAGAAATTTTTGTGTCTGTGTGCTGTCTTTGTGCTGGCTAAAAGTACCAATTCCCATGCTTTGCATGGTAAAATCAAATTGATACATTACTGAACAAAATGTATCCTTGCTTTCATTGAAAGGATGGGTTAAAGGAAGATGTGACCCATAAAAGGAAAATCTTTGAAAGTCTCTTGCAAGCCCAAACCCTTTTGGAGCTGGAAGAAGAATGCTCTGTGTTTAGGTCCTGCCTCTAATTGCAGGTATTAGTGGTGACTGTCACAGCACTGATTCCCAGGGGTAGCGCCTACCTGCATGCTTCCTGTTGCCACAGCTCCTCAGGTGCCCTGTGAGCAGCAGTTCTGAAAAAGATAGGATTAAGGATGGATGGTAAAATAAAAGAACTGCCTTTATAGTTCCTGCTTTATAGATTCATCAGGACTTTTAATACATCTTTCTTTTTGCAATGTTGCACTTGTAGTTTAAGTTATAAATCTGTTACTCTGTAGTTCCCAAGGACTATTTGGTGCTATTAGTGTGGGTGTTTTGCAACACATTGCTGAAGGATTCCTGTGCTTTGGGCATTGTTTTACTTACTTTCCTAAGGCATATGTCATTTTTATTAAGCATAGTTTTACATTATTACTCTGTTTGCTGGAATAAACGTATGTATGATGAAAATCAGATTTTCTTCTATAAAGCTGTTGATAATTTTTACCATAACTAATCACATCTACCACTACATTAGTCATAATGATTTTGTTTCAGGAGCATCTGTACAAGAAAATTGATGCTTTTTGGAATGGTAACTGCCCAAGAAACGTGAAAGAATTGAGAGATGGTACTGTCCCCCTGAGTCATGGAGGAGACAAGTGTGTGTTCAAATCGAAGCATTTTTGAAGGCATTCTAGGGCTTGGGACCAAAGTTACCAAGTTAACTCATTTAGTATTTACTCATTTAGTTCTTTTTATTATTACTAATTTTTTAGGTCAAAGATTAGGAAGAAACCACAATAAAAGCTATAGGGAAGGAGGGCTGGGGATTTGGCTCAGTGGTTTCACCGCCTGCTGCCCAAGCACAAGGACCAGAGTTCGATCCCTGGTACCAAAAAAAAAAACAAACGCTATAGGGAAGGAGATGTACCTCAGTGGTAGAGTGCTTGCCCAGTATGCACAAGGTCCTGGGTTTGATCCCCCAGCATGGCAAAAATAAAAGAGCTCTAGACATACAGTTTTATTAGAGTGGAAAGAGATTTAGAGATCATGTTGGACATGCTTTTAGTTCCCTGAATGATGCTAAATAAGGAAGAAAACCGATGTAAAGACCAGATTATACAAACTTTACTCATAATCTGGAAGAAACTGATGCTTAGGAAGAGAATGCTGCACAAGATAAACTGAATAATTAGCCACTCTGCTCTGAATTTATTTTTGTTAAGTATTGAAAGTAGCAAGGATTTTGCTGGAAATTATAATGCCACTTGGGAAAACTTTTTTCCTTTTCTGCTATTAGTAGCAGTAATTCTGATTCTAGTTTTTATTGTTTTTATATATATTTATTAAAAAGATGAAAATACTACATAAAGTAGTAATTAGGAAGATCAGGTAGATCCTTTACAGCCTTTGTTATTAATAGCTCTTCTGGACTAGGACACTAAACTGGCTTTCAAGAAGCCATGGTTTTAGTTGTATTTCCTTTGTACCTTGAGTTAGTTTTGTCTTTCTTGTTTAGAAAGTATCTATTCTTTCTTGTAAAGATAAACTAAACGTTTCGCTGTGAAAATATGGTCACAGAAGGAATGATTCCTATGCAGACATTGTCCTCCCTACAGGACATGCTGCCCGTGGGCTGATTGTCACCAGTGTGAGAGGCGCCTCACAGAGGGCAGTGGCTCTCAGAACAGGAGCTGTGGGGCCTCATTTACAGCTGTGGAGTAGAAGCCCACAAAGCTTTGGAGGACAATCCTTGTCATGGCTACTGGCGTGGTCACAATAACCTACACACCTGTAGTCTCAGCACTTAGGAGACAGGTAGGAGGACCACAAGTTCTAGGCCAGCCTAGGCTATATACAAAGACCCTGTCACAAACAAAAACATTTTTTGATAGGGGCGTCGTACTGGGGATTAAGCCCAGGGTCTTGTGCTGGCTGAGCACATACTCGACACTGTGCTGTATTCCAGCCCGGTGTCATATTTTAGCAGTCATAAACATGGCCAAGGGAGGAGTGAGGACATGTGACATTGGAGAGTTATCTTACATCACTGAGGAGTTAGACTTGCAAGTGGCTGCACAGATGGATGAGTAGAGTGCTCATCCTGCAGAGTAGCAGAGAAGGCAATGTTTGAAGGGCTGTGTGAAGCTGTGTTGACATGGGAGACAGCAGAAGTAGATTTGGGATAGAAATGCTTTTTCCACCCACATTCATAAATTGTGTGTGTGAGAGGAAATGCTAGTAAGTATTAATAACCTGAGGAATTTTAGCTTTTTCATTCCCCCTTTTTTGGAGGGGGTGGTAAAAACCTTCATATGTTAATTTCGGGATTTTTTTCATGAGCAGACATGTTTGTGACAGTCAACCTTAAGCAGTCTCTCTGAGTATCCTGTCATCCCTAACATCCAAGCTTAATGTTACCTGGTGCTTATGTGACATGGTGTTAGCAATATGGGAGAAACTTTCTGGTGACATTCGGCTGTTCTTTGTGGATGGAGTACATAAGTAGAGCATGTGAGAAGCTGAGTGAGTTTCCAATTGCTCCAATGGAAGCTGTGCCATTGTGTACAATTTGGTGCCCCTTCCTTGACAGTAGTGTGGTTTTAACACTCAAAAGAATTGCATGTCAAAGACCGAGTTAGACAGAAGCAGGTTATCTTTAGTTCCTTCTTTTTACTATGTTACACTAGAGTACTTTTTTACATTTATTGAAAACTTCATTCAACCATATTTCTTTTTTGACATCCATGTATCATTGCCTTTATAAGAAGTTAATGGTTATTTTTTAATATTTTAAGATTTAATATGTCCAAAACCCTTATCAGACATTTTGTTTATGCCGCAGTAGGGCTTCTGGTCTTGAGTAGTAACGTATATGTTGAAGATTTAATCAGTTAAAAGTGATCAGACAGTGTATGGTCTTTGTGTGTTTTGTTTTGTTTTTTGGTACCAGGGATCAAACTCGGGACCTTGCGCTTTCGAGGCAGGTGCTGGAACCACTGAGCTAAATCCCCGGCCCAATGGATGGTCTTTGAAGAAAAAAATCTTTATAATGGGGAAAATCAGATTAGATAGGAAAAGAAAATACAATGGCCAAGTTTTGACAGCACACTCATACTTTCATTTCTCTTGCCTTTTTATCCTCTGAGAAGAACCCTCAAATTCCCGTTACACTGCTTTATTATTCCATTATTATTATGTGTCGTGACTGCAAACTTCAGAGTATGTATTACAGGCGTGAGCAGTAACTGCGGCCCAGACCTTTGCTCATTAACTCCTGAAAGTGGTCTTTTCATGTGTGGTTAAAACAAGGCTTCAAATGTGGAAGTACGAAAGGTTCTTTAACTGTGTGAAGGGAATTACTAAGGAGTTCCTTGGAATTTTGTTTTGAATTATCTTAACTCAGTCTCTTTCCATTGAAGGTTTTACTTTTGACTGGCAGAGCTGTAACTGCTCCTGGGCACTCAGATTTTGATGTTAGTCTTCTTAGCTGGTTTCTGGGATTGGCGAAAGGAAGTGTGGTGTTTTGTTACTCGCTTTTATTGGCGTCCTGTGTTAGAACATTAAAGAGTCCTGCTTCAGCTACAATAAGGCTTTTCTTGAGCATATTTCATCTTTACATAAGTATCTTTTGTGAAAGAAAATTTAGAGCCCTCCATTTTAAAAAGCTTTTTCACTTTGCATAAAACTAAAATATTTAATTTCAAAGTTATATTGATATTAAAACATAGATTCAGTCTTGTCTTAAAAGTGTATTACAATTTATTTCTTGCCATTTTTGTGTAAAATTTACAGAAAGAGTGTTACACCGTGCGCTCCAAAGGTAATGTCTCATTACTCTAAGGCTCTTTTTCTTTCTTTGCCTCTATCTCTTTAATTCTGTCGTTACAATGCATTGAAACATTTTAAGAAAAATAATTTTCTGCTTGTTCTGTATAGCAACAATACTCGTATAGCAAGTGTGTTTTATTGTCGTAGTTAATCCTGAGAAGTGTATCTAAATTCCAGTGGCTTGTTTACAGTAAATTTCTTTCTACACTCCTCTGTTGGGAGACTGGTATTATATTTTATATTATGGCTTTAGATTTTATTGCAGTGTGGAACTAGTAATTTCTGCATAAGGCCAAGAACTTCTCTGCTCATAATATAAAAAATTGAGATTGCTCTTTGGAATAACAGTAACCCTTTTCAGTTTCTAGGATTTACAAGGTTTAAGTGAATCCTTGCTCATGTGTTTTTAAAGTAGATTCAGGAGGAAACTAGAAAATTGGTATCTCTAAGTGATGGGAAAATAAAAATGTGTAAATGTTGAAAGAGTTTAATTTAGAATGTTGCTTGGCCATCTCCCCCTTGGGTACCTTTTAGTGCGTGAGTATAATGTGCCTTGCAAGAGACCTTGGCCTTCTTAGTCCTCTTTCCCCGATGTCTGGCATTGCAGCGCGGTTCTTTACAGAGCTGCAAGTTTTGCAAGAGGAGTCACACATCCGAGAGTGCGTGAGCTCTCCTTGCCCAGTTTAGTCATGACATTGAGCAAACTGACCCCTGCCCTTTTGTTACCCGCTTTTTGTAATTTTGCTGATGCCCTTTGTTTATCCATGTAGACTGTCAGCCCTGGACCAGTAAGCCTGCTTTACATTGGGATTTCCACTCCCAGAGGGCTTCTTCTCAAATATTTTCAGGATTCCTAATATGTACTCTAACTCACTTGAAATACTACTTCATATTTCTGTATCCTGAATACAAATGCAAGTTAGTTATTCACGTCCATTTGGGCAGTCTGGGCAGGTGAAAGAAAGAGTTGGTTCTTTCTTCATTTTCTTTACTCCTACAATCAAGTTTTCATTTGAATTAAAAATAAAACTTGGGGCTGGAGGTGTGGCCCAGTGAGGTTCGCGTGTAAGCTTTTCCTGGTACCAGACCCTGTATGTAGGGCTGAGAGAAGAGGGCTGGAGGCAAGTGGACCTGAGCAGACCACCACTCCTGTGTCCACTTGTGTTTGACACTGATTTCCTTATACAGTGGGAAGTTTCTACCTTTTTAAATGCACTCTTTACATCTTTTGTACAGTGGGATCTATGTCTAGCTTATGTACTGGTTCCTTCTTATTTTCAGTATGCTTTGGTAAAGTTTTTAAATTATGGGAAGCATGTTTTTTTCTTTTGGTACTGGGGATCAAACTTGGGACCTTGTGCTTTCAAGGCAGGCAGCGGAACCACTGAGCTAAATCCCCGGCCCCGTTTCTATTTTTAAATTGCTGTCCAAAGTGCTTTCTGGATGCCAGTTTAATGGTTTAAGCATTGGTGGGCACCAGTTCGCTAGATGTTTTTTTTTTTCTTTTTCTTCTTTCTTTTTGCTGCCTGTTTAAATTTTTATAGTTACACTGGCTTCTACGGCATATTTAAGATTTGTGGTGTTAAAACTCAAGATTTTCTTCAAATTTCTGAATCTTAAGTTGACATTTTAATTTTTTAAATTAAATACTATAGTTGTCTTACAGAACTGAATATTCTTAATGTAAGTATAAGCATTACAATTTTGGAATGGTAAAGATTTTTAGTATTGTTGTGGAGGTTCAAGTTGTGTTTTGTTGACATACATGTCTTAGAATTACCTTAAAACGAGCATAAAAAGATAATGGGAGCTTCTGGTACAATTTACTGCTTGAACATGGCCTGATATCCAGTGGCCTTTTCTCTCTCTGAAACATCTACTTTTCATTCCTGTAAACTGAGATGCTTGTGTTATGTAATTCTCCTTATCTGCTTTTGGAGTTTTACACTGCTGTTCACATAGTATGAAGATCTGTGAGCATGCTATGGGAAAAACCAGATGGGGTTCAAAGTATGTTAATCAGATGTGCCCCGTAGACTTCCCAAGAGTGATGCTCTGGCAGTTTGTGACTAGTGGCTGAATTTTGCTTTGGGTGAAAGAAGAGGAGCGGGAAGTTCTGGGAACAGGATTGTAGAGGCCTGGCTTCATCTGCCTGCCTAAAAGCTGCAGGCAGACCCAGTGTGAAAAGGGACAGAAGAGAACTCATGCAGTGTACGAGCAAATAGCCAGCGCAGTTCCCTTTCCATGGCACAAGTGACAGATGGGCTTTCCTTGTTTATGCTGATAAAGTCTGAGATTTTTTACATGTAATTTTAGATTTGAGAGTAACTTAAATGCATATTTGTTGTATATCTATGGCTATAATGGAAATAAAAACTACTTTATGTATTGTTTATGCATATTGTCTAATAGAGATGATTTTGTAATTCATTATAATCTTGATTTTAAGAAATCAGTAAAATGGCTACTATTGCTATTTTGGGGGTCTTTAATTTTATTTTTGGGGGGGGTCTTTAATTTTAGATGTATGTTGTGTTTAACTTTTTCCCTGTCTTTTTATCTTTACTTTTTTGTCCTCCACATGCTGTGGTTAAACCCTTGCACTTTCTTCACCAAAACACGGCGTGTTTGACCTCATCTTTGTATTGATGTTTATTACACAGCACTACAAAACCTGCTCCACACCTGGATGGGTAAGAGCTACATTCTTCTTATCTAGGGGAGCTGTTAGGGTGACCAGCTCTAGAGACTGATTGACCATGGGTAAACCTTCAGCCAGTTACTCTTGCTGATGCCTGGGTTAATCTCGTGGCCACACTCTTCCTGGAGGGTCACAAGTGAGATAGCTTTGAGATCCTGGGGATCTGATGTCACTTTTTAGGGTCTCCATCTGTGGCCATGGGTGAGCTTCCCAGCTACACAGTCCTGAGTGTAGCTATAAAGGCAGTTTTTCACTACAAGTGCAGCCTGTTTTCAGACTCCTAACTGTAAATGGTTAAGAAACATTGTTAGAAGGCAAAAAGCTGAGACCGGTTTGATTGGGGCCCAAATGTTTGCTTGTGTGAAACAGATTTCAAGTTTGTTATTTCCTTCCAGTTGTTTCATACATCAGGCACTTTGGTTTTATATTCAGGTCTGTGGCCATGTCGTTTATAACGGTTGTCTGAGATACTATTCGTAGCTTAATTATCAAGCCACTTCTTCCTGAATTTATATTGTGGCAGGGTACATGTTGTCTTTGGACTGGTTATCTCTGGTTTTGAAGTAATCGAGCAGATAGAAAATCTGAAAACTGATGCCGCAAGCAGACCTTATGCAGATGTGCGAGTTATTGACTGCGGGGTGCTTGCCACAAAATCAACAAAAGATGGTAAGACCTTGTTGAGGGTGGAGGAAACTAGGGTTGAGGTAAAGCCTTGTTGGAGACTGTAAAAATACCTCCTCAGTTGCAGTGGTGGAAGAAAGGCCATGGGTGGTGTAAAGATAGCTCTTCATGTCCCTGCTTCACAGCCCACCTCCAGTCAGTCGGCAGATCTTGTACCGTCCCTCCTCCCACTGCTTCCCCTTGCTGCCAGCCTAAGCTCTGCCACCAGGGTCTCAGGCCTTGATTATGCAGTGGCCTCGTGACTGTTCACCTTGCCTCCATCTCCTTGCTCTTCTCTGCTCTTTTCTCGGGCCAGTATCTCACCTGGTCCCTTGCTTATGTCTGGGGTTTGCACTTAGCAGTAACCAGCTGGTCCCTGGTCTTTTCATCTTGCGTACAAGGAAGCTCCCTTCTTAGCCAGAGCTGCGGTCTTTATGGGGCCTAGCAGGCCCTGGGTGATCGAGCTCCCAACCCTTTCCCCTCCAGTGCCTCCCAGCATGGCGACCTTGTAGCACTCTTCTCTCCCTCTAGAACTCTTATCTCTAAGCATCGGCACTACTCCTCCTCCTCCAGGGATGTGGCAGATACTGCCTTAAACTACTCTACTCCCCTGCTCCCTCTGCATTGGTCTTACTGATTTACTTTTCTGTGGTAGCATTTATCATTTGTCATCTCACATAGTTATTTATTTTCCTATTATCTGACCCGTTTAGAATACAGGCTTTCTGCAGTTTTGCAAACAGTAGTTTTCTCAACTTGCAAAGTTTATTTAAATTTCATCTTTAGTTTGCTGTACATCAAGCCATAAAGTTTAGTCTGAAATGCAAGCACTGGAATTTAATACTAATACTTTTGTTAATATTTATTAAAAGTTTTTGAAAAAAAGGGGAAGAAACCAACACATTCAGAAGACTCAGATTCCTCTTCCAGTTCCTCTTCCTCTTCAGAATCATCTTCAGAAAGTGAAATTGAACATCAGAAAAATAGGAGAAGGAAACATAAGAGGAGGCCCAAAGCTAAACATTCTAAGAGGAGACGAAAGGAAGCAAGCAGTTCAGAAGAGCCAAGGAGTAAACACACTGTGAGCCCCAAAGGGTGAGTGCAAAACCCTGAGGCCACCTTCCCTCACTCACACAAACACCCCTGTGCCTATGCCAGGGATGGAGCTCAGTGGTGCCAGCGCAAGGACCCGAGCTTGATCACCTGTACCAAGAAAGAAAAAGTACATATTCAGAACTTCAGCTTTTGAGCTGGGGATTTAGCTCAGTGGTTCCCCGCCTGCCTCGCAAGCGCAAGGTCCTGAGTTCAATCCCTGGGACCAAGAAAAAAAAAATTAAAAACAAACAAACACTCCCCTACACACACACACACACACACACCCTAGGATGGGAGAAGTGTGTATGATTCTAGCAACTGTTTTGTTACCTACGGCTTACAAGGCTGGATTTTTGCACCTTATCCAAACTGAAATTTTGCAAATGTAGGAGTAGCATAGACATTTCATATCAAAGATCTGTTTGTTTTTAGGTGAAAATAATCTCTGAAACTTGAAAAGTTAGGATCATTTGACAATTTAGTTCTCTGGGCTGATTTTTTTTGTTCTCTGTGAGAAAATTATGAAACTCTTTGGTTGAGACTTGTAAGCTATCAGTAGTTTTGGTGTTATTTTATTGTCGAGTTTTATATGCTTTAATTATGTTGAAGCACAAACAGCAGTACAGATCCTAATTGCTGTTTTCTTTCAAAAGTCACTCTGAGAGGAGCGATACCAATGAAGACAGACCAGTGGATTCAAATGCTAAAAGGGAAAAGCCTGTTGTCCGTCCAGAAGAGATTCCGCCCGTGCCTGAGAATCGATTTTTACTGAGGAGAGATATGCCTGTTGTCCCAGTGGAGCCTGAGCCGTAAGTAGGATGAGGACTCTGTGCTTTTATTTCTCTAGTAGAAACTTGTCAGTTCATTGCCATTTCGTATTCATTTATCGGACAAGGCCTGTGTTCAGAGCACTCTGTAGGAGACACCAGATACCCTGTAGGATTCACATTTGACTACAGTAGTAGGGAAAGGAGGCAGATAAGTTGGTCAGGTGAGAGGTTCTTTCTGGAGGTCATAGGCCTTTCATGAAAGCACTGAGCTTTTGGTTATCAGAATAGAGGACTACTTGAACTTTTGGAATCCAAGTGAGGGATGAAACGTGTTAATTGCCTGGTGATGGGAGATACTTAGTATCATAAATGTTACTAGAGTTAACTTGCTCAGTGAAACTTCTCTGCTTTGTAAAAGCTAGTGTGTGGCTTTAGATTTGGTCTCAAAAAATACTGTTTAGCTGCTCACAGTTGTACTTGCCTATAATCCCAGCTACCGGAAAGGCTGAGGCAGCAGGATCATAACTTCAGTGATTCAGTGCCACCCTGGGTGACTACTTAACATTATCCTGTCTCAAGATAATTTTTTCTTTTTTTGGAGTGTAGTGGTGGTAATGGAGTTTGAACCCTGGGCTTTTGTATTGAGGTGCATTCCCCCACCCATTTTTAAAAAAAAATTTTGAAATAAGATCTCACTAAGTTGTCTAGGCTGGGCTGAAACTGAAACATACCCCTAGCTTTCCACAAATGTTTTATCAAGATGTAAAGTATAATACAAGCTGAGTATCAACTTTTCAATACAGGTCTACTAATAAGAAAAATGGAATTCCATTTAACTTTTCTTAGACTTCAGAGTTTGTATTCTCTCATAAAACATGTTGATACTGTTTGTCTGATAATGCTGCCCTGCCGTGTGATTTCACGGCCTTCATCTCTGAAGCTTTACTCCCGTGTGGACAGGTGATGTGAGTAGCACTCGGATGCTGGCAGGTTGTAACTACACTGTTGTGATTCTGAGTGCCCATAGCAGTCTAAAGCAGGGGATCGCCACCTGGAGACAGCTCAAGAAAAGCGTGAGCTGAGCAGATAGAGGTAGCTCTATATCTATAAAACTTGATTTGTGGAAGCTGAAACTTGAATTTCAAGTAATCTCCGTGTCAAAATATTTTGAAACTAGTTTTGCATAGTAGGAATATACATTTTCCATTTAAACACTGCCTGACACTTGCTAATTTTTCTTATTCATCCCAACTTCTTTTCTAGGACGATTCCAGATGTGGCACCCACTGTGAGTGATCAGAAACCATCTGTGTCAAAGTCTGGACGGAAGATTAAAGGAAGGGGCACCATTGTGTGTGGCTAAGACTTTCCCCTTTGTGAATCACTTTCCTAAACAGTTTTTTTTAAACCTATTAGTAAAATCCTAACTTCTTTTTTACTTAAAATAGAAAATCTTTATGAGAAATTAGTTGTATTTTTCGTAGTTATGGGAAGGTACTGCTGTTGGGTCAGAGTTTATGCCTGTATTTGGATGGGTTTAATTAAGTGTGAAATGAATGTACTATAAAATAATGAAGATGTTGAGAAATTACAGTACATTGAATAATCTAGTCTAGTGGATGTAGCTGTTAGGACTTTGAAGAGGAAAATTTCGTAGGAGATTACAGGTGAATAGCATTCTTTCCCATCTCTCTGAGTGCCTTATGTTTGAAATAACTTTGTGCCATTCTCTTAGTACTTAACTCATTGCCTCTGAAGGTAAACGAGATCCTTGGGTCTTTTGCCTGACTTTGTCTGATAGCAGCCTGTAATTGAGAAGTGTTTTTAAAGTAGCTGTTTCCTTTGTACAGCGCTATCACACACCTCCAAGATCAAGATCCTGTTCGGAGTCTGAGAACAACGATAGCAGTGAAACTCCTCCTCATTGGAAGGAGGAGATGCAGAGGCTGAGAGCATACCGACCGCCAAGTGGAGAGAAATGGAGTAAAGGAGACAAGTGAGAGCTGGGAGGGAGGCACTGAGCAGGCTCTGTGATGTCCTAAGTGTTGAAGGAATATAGCCTAATCCTCCTCTTCCCATCAAAGGTGTGCAGTCGGAATTAGGTTGTGGCCAAAGGTAATACATTTAGGGAGACTTGGTGAAAGTAGTACTGTTAACTAGGTAAGACAGATGGCTTTGGGGCTTTCAAAATGGTTTTCCGTCCACTGAATGTTTTGAAGAACTGGTACCCAATTTTAGAAGTAATCAAGACTTTAAGATCATATAGTACAGCCAGTTCTTTCCTAGCCATGAGTCTTGGTCACTGATAAATTCATTGGCAGGTGGGAAAACCTGTCCTGGTTGTGTGCCCACAGACCATTGCTTCTTCAGAAGGGCAGCTGCCTCTTACACTCAGTGATACCCCACAGTGAGTATTTGTTTTAGAAATGGGGTTGGCCCCAGGATAGCCAGTGGAAAATACGCTGAGGGAGCCCTGTGTATTCTTCATGGAAAGATCCTCATTTTCTCTGCAGGTGTCTCACAGAGTGGCTGGACATGGGGAGAGGGAGGAAAGAGGTGTCTGCTGGGTGGGAGTGGCTGGTGCACAGCAGTGCTGAGGAGTCTTGATTTGAGCTGTGGCATTGCCACTAAGATTGGAAACCATAGTTTTCATGTCATTTTTTTCCTCTGTCTATTTTAAGTAGTTTAGAGGCAAGTCTTGGTTACCTCTGTGAGGGGAAAGGAAGACAATTCATGCTAGCTTCTTTAGAACAAGAGGCTGATCTTAGAGGCTGAGTGTGCAGCTCAGGTAGAATGCTTGCTTAGTATTTGTGAGACACTGGGTTTGATGCCCAGCACCAGAAGATAAAAGTTAAGCTAAGAACACAGCAGAGCTGTTGGGAAACTTTCTTTGATCTCCCTTAAAAATTGCTTCTAGAGGAAAAGGGCCGTGAGCAGATCCCAGCCAGGAACTCAGCATATCAGCAGTGATCTTGTGATGAGTTGATTTGGTTTTTGCATTTTCCTGTCAAATTGGAAATTCCTTTCTTAGCTTAAAAAACAAAAAGCCCTTTGTAAGTGAATCTGCCACAAGTTGTTATTATTTATCTCTGAAAGTATAAGGTCAAGACCAGCCACATAACTCTTTGATTCATGATTTTTAGTTGTGCTTCACGTGCTGATTTTGTTTTTGACAGGAACTGTGTTCAAGGCATAGAAAACATGCTTCCCAATGACTTCATTTGTATTGTGTCCCTGTCTGTAGGTTAAGCGACCCCTCCTCAAGCCGGTGGGATGAGAGAAGCTTGTCACAGAGATCTAGGTCGTGGTCCTTTAGTGGCTATTACTCAGACCTTAGCACAGCAAGACACTCTGATGGTCATCGTAAAAAACGCAGAAAGGAAAAAAAAGTTAAGCATAAAAAGAAAGCCAAAAAGCAGAAGCACTACAGAAGACACAAGCAGACTAAGAAGAGAAGGGCTGTACTATCTGACATAGAATCTTCAAAATCTTCCACTCAACAGATGAAGTCCTCCTGTGATAGAGAAAGGAGGTCTCACTCTTCATCCTCATCATCACATCACTCATCAAAGAGGGACTGGTCCAAATCTGACAAGGGCGACCAGAGCTCTTCTACCCATTCCAGCAGGGACTCCCACAGGTCGGAGCCTCCCTCTAGGTCTTATTCTAGAGGGAGCTCCAGATCAAGGGCTGCATCACGATCCTCATCACATTCTCAGAGTAGATCCGAGTCCAGATCTAGTTCCAAGTCAGGGCACCGAAGGGCAGCATCAAAATCACCAAGAGGAACAGCTTCTCAGTTAAGTGACAATAAACCAGTTAAAACAGAATCTTTAAGAGCAACAGTGCCACAAAATGAAAATGTAGTAGTACAGCCGGTGGTAACAGAAAATATTCCAGTAATACCGTTGAGTGATAGCCCCCCCCCTTCAAGGTGGAAGCCTGGACAGAAGCCCTGGAAGCCCTCCTATGAGCGAATTCAGGAGATGAAAGCTAAAACGACTCATTTGCTGCCCATCCAAAGTACTTACAGTTTAGCAAATACTAAAGAGACTGGCAGTTCATCATCCTACCATAAAAGAGGAAAAAATTCAGAAAGTGATCGGAGTGCTTATTCAAAATATAGTGATAGAAGTTCCGAAAGCTCACCAAGGTCAGGGAGCAGAACTTCCAGGAGTAGGAGCAGGTCTTACTCTAGGTCATACACGAGATCTCGTAGTCCAGCTAGTTCACGTTCCAGGTCCAGGTCCAGGTCTCCATCCTCTAGGTCTCATTCACGAGGTAAGTACAGCGATCACTCACAGTGCAGTAAATCGTCCTCGTACACTTCCATTAGCAGTGATGGGGACAGACGGGCCAGGAGGAAATTTAGATCCAGCGGGAAAAAAAGTAACACTTCCAGTAAAAGGCGTAGCAGCAGCTCTGAAAAGACACTGGGTGGTCGGCATGCCAAAGGTAGAGACCGGTCTTCATGTCAGGAAGGAAGGTGTAGCGAGAGCAGGTCGTCTGTAGATTCTTCTTCAGACAATGAACAGTCAAGTGGTCAGGTCACCCGTTCAGTCCAGGAAAAAGAGAAGCAGGGCAGAGTGGAAATACTGAATAAGAAGCAGGAAAAAGACAGAGATGCAGAGAAGTCCAAGCCTGAACGGGAATGCTTGCGTCCAAAAACAAGAAACTCAAAAGAGAATCTTTCCGATCACTTTAGAAATGGCAGTAAGCCCAAAAGGAAGAATTACGCTGGGAGTAAATGGGACTCTGAGTCAAATTCAGAACGAGATGTAACTAGAACCGGTGCAAAGGGTTCCCGGAGGTCTTCTGACAAGGAGGAAGGGGAGGCCACATCAGATTCTGAGTCAGAGGTCAGTGCAGTTCACAGCAAAGTTAAATCCAAGGCAAAATCTCCAGTGAATGCGGGGCTGCCTGACAGTGGTGCCCGGAAATCCAGCAGGCAGCGGCCCTCGACTTCTGGTTCTGAGAGGTCCAATTCTAACTCTGAAAACAACAAAGGAAAGCCATGGAAGTACAAACACTCGACAAAGGAAAGTCTGAAAAGGGACCACACCAAGAAAGTGAAGGAGAAAGGGAAAGGGAAAAAAGACAAAAAGCACAAGCCTCCAAAACGAAAGCAAGCTTTCCACTGGCAGCCTCCACTAGAGTTTGGGGAAGAGGAGGAAGAAGAGGAGGAGAGTCATGAAAAGCAAGTCACCCAAGAGTCAAAAGAAAAAAAAGAACTTCCTGAAAACAGTGAAACCGTAAAAAAGGATGATACTACTCACACTGAGAAAGCCTGTGACAAGGCCAGGCTTTCAGGACAACATAGCACAGTGACTGCGTCATCAGCCCTGGATCAGCTTGCCGAAGGTGACAGTAAGCCCAGCATGTGTCCCACAGCTTTAGATCCCGAGAAAGAGAGGGCCAGTTTGCCCCGAAACAGTCAGCATTTTGAAGAACAAGCCCCAAGCGGAGCGGAGGATGTGCTTCAGACAGACGATAACATGGAAATCTGCACTCCCGAGAGGAGCTCCCCAGTCAAGGGAGAGGGGACATCCCCTCTGGCCAATTCAAGGCTCAGCACCCCACAGATGAGCAGTGTTCTGAAACAGGATGTGCACACAGAACCTCCCGAAGCAGAAAGAGTGAGACAGGAAAGCAGCACATCTGAAAAGAAAACAGTGGGAGAAGGGGGGAAACTGGACAGCAGCTCAGCCAGCACGGCCAGCGCCAGTAAAAGTGTCGGGAAGAGGGAGGCAGCTGAGAAGAGCCAGGGCCGCCTCTTGGATAACAAGTGGAAGCCTCTGCAGGGTGTGGGGAACCTGTGGACCCCTCCTGCTTCCACATCCAGTGCTGCAGAGGCGAAGGCCCTGACTGTTGTACCAGAGACGAAACCACAAGGCTTAAGGATAGAAATCAAGAGCAAAAACAAAGTTCGGCCTGGGTCACTGTTTGATGAAGTAAGGAAGACAGCACGGCTAAACCGCAGGCCAAGAAATCAGGAAAGTTCAAGTGAGGAGCAGACACCTAGTCGGGATGGTGACACTCAGTCCAGGAGTCCAAGTAGATCTCGCAGTAAATCTGACACCAAATCCCGACACAGAGCCAGGTCCACCTCCTACAGTCGCTCCAGAAGTCGATCAAGAACTTCCACGTCATCTTATCGGTAAGCACTGTTCTCTTTCCTTTGGTTTTCCCAGGGGGCATCTGTTCCTCTTCAGCTTGGGAAGGTGTCAGAGTTAGGGACAAGATTAGCGTCTCCAGATATCTAAACTGGGCCTGAGGGCATAGGTGGTGGGGGGTTTCAGGTGAAGAAATTTGGGCTTAATTTAAGTGAAAGAGAAATGAGTTGCCTGGATGTTGGTGAGTTGTCCATCTCTAAAGGTGTAAGGCTGCTTTCGTGCCCTGTCTGAGGCTTCTTGCAGGAATCCTGAGTTAACAGAATCTGTAGGCTGAGAGATCATAAACTTGTGTTTCACACATCCAGAAGGTAAGTGTCAGAGAGGCGGTCACCTGACCAGGATGCGTGCTGGAGACCTTTATCTGGAGGAGGGTAAAAATCATCTTCAGACTTTTCTCTTGTTCAAATTGGAAAAGTTCACGTAGCTTTTGTAATGATGCATGGGTGTAGACTGGATAGTATAGAGAATAAGAGCTAGATACTAAAAAAGAGCCATAGCGATAATTCATAAGTAACTGTGTTGCCTTTTTCCTTATGAAACACTTCATGGTATTACCTTTGTCTTCATTACTCAAATCTCCTATTTTATTTGGCTTGCTTTTCATTGTTTGAGCTTAAAATACAGACCCCTCCTTGACCATTGTTCCCTTTCTTTCCTTCTCTACCCGTCTTTCTTCCTGTACTTCTCCAGACTTTACTTAGAAAGGGACTGCCCCTGGCCATCCTCAGCAGCTGCATGCTTGCTGGCCTCACTAAACTGATTGAGGTTTTCAGAGACTCCTGCAAAGCCATGCCGGGCCTTTTCAGGCCCGCTTACCAGAAGCCCTCTGCCAGCTCTTCCCATCATTCCCTGCTCCCACCCTGACCCCAGCAGGAATGGAGCTGGGAAACTGGCCCTTCGTCCCAGGGTTCCTTGTTCGCGTGGTGCAGGTGCCCGTTGAGCTCCTTTAGCTTCCTGACCGCTCACTGGTGCTTACCCCTCACCAGCTTCCTGCCCCTGCCTCTGGAGCAGGTGGCATTTCATTCTGTGAAAGGGGTGGTGGGACAGGAAGTTGCTCTAGGAAGTTGCCCTGCAGCCTAAGGGCAGCAGATTGAGATGGCCTTGCTGAGCACTGCCCTCCCTGCTTTCTAGTGTCTTGCCTCAGCCCAGCTCCCTGACAGTGTCCTCCGCATCCTTGGTCACCATGTCACAGGATCTGGCTCTGTGTTGGCTGCTGAAAACCCAGAGTCTCACAGAGCGTAACATATCGTAGTCCTGCAGGTACACTGAGCACACATCCCCCAAACAAGCAGACACTTGCAGGGACCCTGCCCGAGGGCTTCACCCGCACAGGTTCCCTGCCACTTCCGAGTGACAGGGTAAAGTGGAGTGCAGGGGGCAGGACAGGGCGACCTGAGTGTTGCATTGATTAAACATTAAATAGTTGCCCACGATAAGTGATAGAAAGTACAGAAAATAACATAATGGGTCTTTTTGTACCTGTCATCTGTTGTACCACTTCCACCCTACTTGCTGACTGCCCTCCTATAATTAACCATGATTGGAAACTTGTGCTACAGTTTTTCTGTTTTCCCCCTAGAAGCGTTTCTCTGTAGATGCATTTCTGAGATCTTTTATAAACAAGCCTTTACACGTGAAGATGCTCCCTGCCACCTTTCTCACTCAGGATCGTGTCTGGTCCTGGGCTTCCCTTGCGGGCTTGGGTCCTCTCCTCTTTCTGGGCTGGAGCTGGGCTGCGTGGTTGTGGCTTCAGTGGCTTGCTGTACTCTGATCATTAACTTTGAGGCACGCTTGTCTCTGGATTGCCACATTTGCAGTGCCAGTGCCACAGCCTCTGCAGAGTGGCAGAGAGGCCTTCCCTCAGCTGCGTCCCTCTCTGGCCAGACTCGGGATTCCTGTCGCCAGTGTGGCAAGATGACTGATGTGCTGGTGTCTTCACTGGCTGTCTTCACAGATCCAGAAGCTACTCTAGGAGCCGGAGCCGAGGATGGCAGAGCCGAGGCCGAAGCCGCAGCCGCTCCTACCGAAGCTACGACAGTCACAGGTGGGCTTGCAGGGCCCAGGGACACTCCTGGCTGCTCCTCAGTGGGGTCTCCTCAGGCTGGGGTGGAGAGGCCCGCCGCCCCTCTTCGCCCCAAGTACATCTTAACCAGAGCTCACAGGCGCGGTCACCCCACGGGCTTGGAGAGCAGCAGAGGAGCAGAGGACTGCAGGGCACCAGGCAGGAGGGGTGTGTGGAGGGTGCCACACTTTCATCTTTTTCATGAAATGGGTTTTAGGGCATCGAGCAGACTTTTCATAGGAAAGTAAGTTCCGAGGTGTCATTCATTGGACACAGGTGTCACTGTGGTGGCCGAGGACTGGTCTAGACTTTGATGAGCCTGGCCACCTGTCCCCAAGATGATTCCTTCCTGTGGTCCCACAGGACATCCAGCAGGAGCAGGTCCAGGAGCAGCTCGTATGACGCCCACAGCCGGTCCAGGTAAGACAGGGTGTGAGTCTGGGCGGGAGCCGCGTGTGGCAGCCACTGGCGGTGGTGTGTTGTGTTGTTGACACCAGGGCTTGAGCCTGCGCCTCCCATGTGCTGGGCCTGCACTCTGCCCCTGGCCCTCACCTGTGGCATTTTTTATTTAATAACTTACTATGTGTATTTGTCTCCTCAAAGGATACCCTGTCTAAATGAGGTCTTTTCAACAGTTTTTATCTTTTGGCCCATTTCACTCTGATGGGAAAAGTGACAATGGCAAATTATGCCACAGGTGTTTGTTAATATAATTGCCTGAAAAGATCCAACAGAGTCCATCAAACTCAATGTTGTGTTATTTTTCAGCATTTTTCTCTTTAATATGATAAGTGATGGGCAGTTGCCAAATGTTCGTGGTACTTGTTATGTACCCGTGTCCTCACGCTGTCGTTAAGTAAGTGCCCATGTTCCAGCTAAAAAGAAGTGGGAATTGGAGCTTTTGCATGGGAAAATTGAATGTGTGCTGTTGCTATTAAAGCAGGTCCTACACTTACGACAGCTACTACAGCAGGAGCCGGAGCCGGAGCCGGAGCCAGAGGAGTGACAGTTACCACCGAGGAAGAAGTTACAACAGGTGGTCCAGGTGGGTCGTTGTTGTTTCTGTTTCATGGGGGAGGGCTGCAGGGTTTTGGTGATGGGGTCTTGCTGTGTAGCCCAGTCTGTCCTCAGACTCACGATCTTCCTGCCTCAGCCTCCAATGCGGTGGGGTTACAGACATGTGCCATCATGCCAGGCTAAGGACCCCTCCTTTTGGAGCACTCGAGTTACTGTGGGCTCTTGGTACACCAGGCACTGACTGCTAGTGGGGAGAAGGTGTAGCCCTCCAAGGACAGAAATCCTCTCTTCCTGCGTTTTAGTGACAACTGGCAGCTGCCAGAAGTGGCCTTGGTATTAAGAGTTACCAGGTGATATTTGCTGGATTTTGTTCATGTCTCATCTCAGATGAATTGTAAATGTTCATGGGTTGCTGAACATACACCTCTTGAGGAAGGATGAAAGAAGGTCACTGCATTCCAGCCACTTCCTAAAGTCGGGCTTTCCATTTTCTTATTTCCGTAGAAATAAGAAAAAAGTAATGTAAGACATAGTCTTGGCAAGATTGAGGTTTCCGTCTTGTCAATTTAGTAAAATAATTTTTATGTATTCTGTGTCTTGTGTTTTATATAAATTTTGACTACTGTAGGTCTCTGATAACTTTTTTTGGTACCGGGGATCGAACTCGGGACCTTGCACTTGCGAGGCAGGTGGCAGAACCACTGAGCTAAATCCCTGGCCCCTTTGATAACTTTTGAAATAGCCCTTTCTGGTGGATCAGTCTTCCTGCCCCCATCCCTGCGACGCACCTGAGCACTCCGGTGCACACGGGCAGGTCCAGGTACTGCAGGGCCGCTTCTCTTACCCCTGACCCTCTCCTGCCTAGAGACACAGGTGCCCTCTCCACATCTCCTCTTTGCTTCCTGAAATGACCAGTTCCCACCTACACTCAGGTCTCCGCTGCAGCCCGCTGTCCCGGAAGCCTCCCTCCCTCCCTCCCTCTCGCCCGGAGGGGCTGCTGTGCCCCTGTGCTCATTGTCCCTCACTTCCTCTCTGGCTGGCTGTGCTACATTACCTGTGACCCTTAGGGGCCGTACCTGGCTACTGTGACTGGCTCTTCTTGAAGTTTTTTTAAGCTAACTGAACAGGGACGATAAGCAGGTCCTCTTGGCTCAGGGTCAGCGTGCAGACCACTCCCACCTTTGCTGGGCTCTCATTTGGCTTCCGTGCCTTCAATAAAACTGTGTTGAATCGTGCATCTCCCTCGTACTTCCTCAGGTGATCTAGTGAAATGTTGGGTCTCGTTTTGGGTACCATGGAAAGTTACTCTGCCCACGTGCATGCACGGGTTTCAAGTAAGTTTCCCGAATGTTGCCACCAGCTGTCTTGCAAACACCCTTGAGGAGTGAGTAGCACTGCCGCGGTCAGAGTCCAGCGTCCACGCCTGTGCTGTGCCGTCCTGTCAGTTTGGAAGCCACTCAGATCAGAGTGGACTCGGGAGGGATTGAGAGGGTGGAGAGTTAAGATGTTGCTGTACATTTTGTTCTGTTTTGTTACACAGGAGTTGTAGATCCTATGGCTCTGACAGCGAAAGTGACCGCAGTTACTCTCATCACCGGAGCCCCAGTGAAAGCAGCAGATACAGCTGAAAACTACCATTTTGATATAAATTATATCTTGTTTGTAAATATCTGGTAACTTAAACGTTTCAGAAACTTAATGACAGTCTGTTGTTCTATTTTGATATTAGAGGTGAATTTCAGAGATAGACGCTTGTCAGTTGCACTCCTTACGTACATGTGTAGAAGTCTGCAGGTGTGTCTCCTATAAATACTTTTAGGCCACATTTTACAGTAGCCAACTATGGAATTTTCATTTTCTTGAATCAAGAAATTGTGAAATTTATGTAAGTATAATTTGTGATATTATTTTGGATAGACTGTCTCTCCCCATCTCATGTATCCCTAGAGTACAGATTCTTTTTGCCCACCTTTCAGGTTTTAGCATACATGCTGCCAAGCAGAGAGCTTCAGAGGAGAACTGCTAAGGCGGCAGATGTTTAGCTCCCAGTCCTGAGCTAGGTCTGGTCAGAACTGACCACCTAGACTTCGCACTGGCGGGAGCCAGCGCGGCGCCTGACTCACCTTCTGTCTCTGCCTCTCTGGGGCTCAGGAACATGGTCGTCCATCATGCTGCCTACGGGCGGCATTGCTGTGGCTGGGGGGCTCCTTAGGAAGAAAAAATCAGCCTTAACTATATATTCCTGTACTGCCTCTGAGGAGTGCATATTGTACATGCTTTTTAATATGGGAGTTTAGACTGTAGAAAGCGTCCTACTCCAGTTTATGCTTCGGTGCTTTCTCGGTACCTTTCGGTGCCTCTTTAAGCATCATCTTCATAATGCTACACATAAGAGAATGATGTTTTGTTAAATACACTGGCACTGAAAGTTGTTTCTTCCACGCTGTCTTTGAATACTGGAGGAGCTTCTCTCAAGCACATGCATGGACTGGGCCCAGAGCGGGTGAGCCTGACCCTAAGGGTGCATGCCCATCCCACTCTGGCCTTCTGTACCTGTGCTTTTGAAGGAGAGGGCTGAAGAGCATCTAAAAAGCAGCACCAGAATTTTAACTGCCACCGTCCTGGAGACATTGTGAGGGCTTCATGTGTGAGTCCTCCAAGGAAGGGATATACCACAGCAGGGGCAGGACTCTTCCAACCAGCCTGCTTTCCTGTTTCTGCTGGGTCCCCCGCCAGCTGCGTGAAGCCACGTGACCTGGAAAACCCAGGCCACAGCCTCGAGGGCTTCAGGGTGCCACAAAGACCCCGGTTTGTGGCTTTGGGTGGTTCTCCAAAAATGACTCGACCTGTAAAAACTAGTGTGATTTTTTTTTTTTTTTTAATCTTTTGTTTGCAGTTTTCCCCCAAGTGTACTTAATCACCTTAGTGCCAATTTCATCCAGTGACGCCGGGGAATTCCTGTCGCATGTCCAGTGTCAAAGTCTGCTCTCCTGCCCCAAGCCTTGGCCTGGGCTGTCTAGGAAATAGCAGAGACCCCAGCTGGGGGGATGTGACAGGGGATGTGTCAGAGCTGCCGTCCAGGGCTGGGGTAGAGCTTTGCGGTGGAGCGAGGCCCTGGGCTCGGTCCCGGCAGGAGGCACAGTGTGTGAGCAGGGCTGGTGGGCCGTTGTTTACCGTGGCAGCAGACAGCAGTTCCTCAGAAAAGAACGGAGTCAAAGATCAGGACTTGAGAGAGAATATAAAACAACGTGTGGTTTGTATCGGGTTTTCAAAAGTTGCCTGCAAAGGAGGATATTGTTTTAATATAGCAGCTGGAGAGGAAAAAGGCATTCAGAACATTCTGAACAGAAACTGCCAGATCAGCCAGGCGAAGAAGAGTGACTCTTGGCAGTGTATTAGCTCTTTGTTGCCTTGTGTGACAAATGAGCCACGTTGTGCAGCTTGTGGAGCACTCGTGTTGTCCTGTGCTGGGCCAGGGCTGTGTGGTCCGGCTGGGTTCTCTGCTTAGACTCTCCAAGGTGGAGGCTCGGGAGGGACTGCTTTGGGCTCCTCAGTCACGGCCAGCTCCTTTACATCCCTTCTGCGTGGCCCCTAGAGCCCTTGGCTGGCATGCTCCACATCTCTGCCCTCCCTCCGATCTTCAGGGGCCGTGTAAGGGCTGTCACAGTCGCGGGTTCTGGGGACCGGCACAGAGCGGGGGAGGGCACTTCAGAGCCGTGTGGACCTCGGGCAGCACCTCTACCCGTCACAGCCGAGGGCAGGTGGGATTTTTATCCCGGAAGGAGGCCCTAGAAGCCCGTTTCCCTCAGAAAAGGCTGGCCCTGCTGCAGTGTTGGACTTGTGGGTTTACTAAGTGAACTACAGAAATAGCTTTTCTTCCTACAGGGCATGGGTCTGTATTTTGAAGTTATTTTTTAATAAAATTGAATCATGTTGTGTAATGTGCTTCTTAATAGAAAATGCATTATTGGACTGTTTTTGTAACGTTCTGTTTATTGCAAATAGCTGGTATTGTTCAAAAATTGTAGAAAATACTTTTGTACATAGTACCAATGTCTAATTTGTATACACTTGAGCTGTATTTCCCTAAAACATGACGGGGCCTTGTAGAAATTAAAATGTATACTTGGTCTAAGTCTGTGTCTGTGTTTTGTGTTTTTTTGTTATCAGGGATCAAATTAGGGACCTTGCACTTTTGAGGCAGGTGGCGGAACCACTGAGCTAAATCCCTAGCCCTGTGTCTGTGTTCTGTCTGTCTCGACTTACCAGACCTCAGCGAGTCTTTCTGAAGTGGGAACAAACCTATCTTTGCCGACCTGGCCAGTGGGGGGCCCAGGTGGCGCCAGAGGTGCCAGGCAGTGCTGCCCGGCTGCACACGAAGTGTTCGTGCTGTGCTGTCTGATTTCCGTACCCCCCGGCCCCCCGGGAACCCCAATCCCTCCAGCTTGTCACCTGCATCCAGAGGTTTCTGCTGTGGAGGGAGTGCGTCCCTGTACCGCACCTGGGGACAGCGCCTGCCCCTAGCTCCACTTCCCTCCCCAGCAGCGCTCACTGTGCAGAGTGGCATGCGTCACTTCTGGGGACGGGTGCACGGTGACATTTTCTCATACACAAGGGCCAGGGATTTAGCTCAGTGGTTCTGCCACCTGCCTTGCAAGTGCAAGGTCCCGAGTTCAATCCCCGGTACCGAAAAAAACCAAAACACAAGGATTTACCTGGCCAGCACAGTTAGCTTTTGTGTCCTCGAGCATGGAGGAATGTGTTTCCGCAGTAAACACAGGCTACTTCTCACTTCAGACAGTGAATTTTCTAAATTAACAGTGGGCTCCCAAGTTGGATAACCATAAACTGTCTAATCTGGGAGTTTTGCTTTAAATTGTAGCAGAGGAGCTGGGTGTGTGTGTGGGGGGGGCGTTTCTTCCCCAGGGCTTGGCGCTGGGTAGCAGCAGCGCTCCCTTGCTGTGTGCCAGGTTTGGAGCCAGGGATAAGCACTTCTGTCCCTTGGAGACCCCAGCCCAGCTCGGTAGCCCAAGCCCTGCAGCGCGCAGGAAGAGCCCACACCACGCAGAGCACTGAGGACACAGGATGACCAAAGGCGTGACCCACACTCGGGACGCTCCTGCATGCTGCATTCAAGCCCCATCCTTGGGCCTCTGCCTGCCCATCAGCCCTGAGGGGGTGGGTGGGGGTGCAGGGAGCTCAGCCCAGCCCGGCCTCTGATTCCGCCCTGCAGTGGTCAGGCCGCAGGCCACCAGGGCCTCCAACTACAGTCTGCCACCAGGCCAGATCTTCAGAGAAAGCCAAGAACCCACAGCGACCTGGCTGCTCCTGGCCTGCTTGGGTTTTGTTCTGAAGAAAATGGAGGACCTCAGTGAGCAACTGCCCTCGGGCGTGGCCCTTAAGGACAAGCTCCCGCTGTCTCCCCTGGGGAGCAGTGAGCTGCCATGCCGACCTCTAGCTCAGCTCCTCACCTGCAGACAGGACTCGGGATGTGAGGATCACCCTCCTAGAACTAACCGGTAGACAGACAAATGCTCAGAACCAAGCGGCCCCGCCTTGCCTCCAGGAAGAGAGGTGCATCCTCAGGCCAGCAGGGTGGTGAGGGTCTTGGGAGCTGGAGGCCTCCATACCAGGGCTGCGGTGTGCAGGCTGCCTTAGAAACCAGGCAACCTGCTGGCTTGTGTGAGGCCCGCCCTGGCAGCTGTGGCGTTAGTGCCCAGTGGGTCTTCTCCTGGTGGGGCCGTTGCCCTTCCTGCCACCCTGCCCACTCTGCCCCTCCTACCCCAGGGAGGCTGAGCCCCACTGCACTCTCTGCACACCCATCCCAGTGCAGCTGGAGCTGCTCCTTCCCCGGCCCCCAAGCATGGGGGCTGCATCTCCTCCCTGTCAAGAGAGGAACCTGGGCCACTGAGGGAAACTGAGAACTGCCAGCCCAGGTGCCGGAAGGACACTGCACTGTGCCCTTGCCAGGTGAGCAATGGCTCAGTCTCACCGTGGCCTTCTAGGAACTCAGGCCCCCAGATGTCCCACACATCTGTTCTGCCTGCCTCTACTGGGCACTGCACTGCAGGAACCCTCAGGTTCCTCCTCCAGGGTGTGCAAAGGCCCTTGCAGGTGACTGGGTGGGTGGGACAATGAGGCACCAACAGGCGCCCAGGGCTCGGGCTCTGCCTGGGGCTCCCCAGCAGACCTGCTCAGGCCAGAAGCCGAGGGAAGGGAGGGGCTGGGGTCTTTGGGGACCCTGGGCCCCCATTCCTCCCTTCTCAGCACCCTTCCACCCCTCCTCTGGCTAGACTGGTAGCCAAGGCCATTCTCTGGTCACACTGGCTACACACTTTGCCAAGCTTTGGCTGGAGTGGGCCTAGGACGGCCCACACAGCCCTCTGCTGGGCCGCTTCAATCCCCCGTTCCCTGGCTCCTGCCACCCGGCCTTGGTGTCTGTCCAGCCAGTGAGTCCTGTCAATGCCACCTCCCAGGTCAGTGCAAGGGTCCACTGTGAGTCAGGTGAGGGGTGTTTGAAGAGATGGAAGCCAGTGCAGAAGGTCTGGCTGGTCCAGGCACAGAGGCTGTTCAGGCCTGCCCTAGGCGGGGGCCCTGTGGGTGCTGAGCCCCAGCCCGTGCACAGCCCCCAGGTGTGCCCCTCTGTCCCCACCCATCTTACACTAGCATCCGTCCTCACTCCCATCTGGCTGTGTACAGTGCTCCTCCTGCCCTGGCGCGCCGTTCAGGCCACCTCTGTCCCTGGCTGGGAGCCCTGTGTATCACAGGACAGACTGGGCCCTCCACGTTCTGCTCCACCCCTCCCCACACCCAGCATGCACCCTCAACCCAGGCTAAGGTGCCTGGCTGGGACCTGAGTAACTCAGAGGGCTCCTGTAGGAGGGGGGGCTGCCAGGGTAGGACAACGTGGTGACCAAGAGCGGGATGTGCAGCAGTGTGGGTGGGAGTCACAGACAGGCGCCTGCGTGATGACACAGCCCCCGGGGCACAAGGTCCCCCTCCGCGGTGGCGCCCAGCCATCCCCTGGGCCTGCCGGGCCCCTCGCCGCCCCGCGTTCCCCACCCTGCTGCCTGCTCGGCCTGGCACGGGTCCTCTGCAGCCTCCCGCCAGCAGAGCCGGCCCCTGCCCCCACGGGCGTCCGAGCCAGAGCAGCATTCCGCGGGTCTGGCGGCCTCTCCCGCAGAGGCCGGGCGGGGAGGCCACGGCAGCCGCAGGTCCCAGGTTCTGGGGCGGTGGGGCCTGGGCCCCGGGGCCTCCCCTTGGGCCGGGTCAGAGACCTTCAAGGCCTTGAGCCCTGCGGCCGTGGGTTGGATCTCACAGGCCCCGGACAGCAGCCTAGGACACCCGGTAGGAGGGGTACAAGCTGGAGGCTGGAGTCCGCGGGGACCCCCGACTCACCCCGGGGTCGGAGCCGCCTGGGCCCCCGGGTGGGTGCACGCGCCGCCCGGATGCGGCCGCTGGGGGAGCAGGTGGAGGTCGCCTGCCGAGTGGGGCCCGGCCCCCTCCGCGCCCCGCCTCCGGGTGCAGCTGCCGGCGCTGAGGTTGGACCCAGCGAAGTTCCCGCAGCCAGGGATCCGCACGGCGCGGGCGCGTGCTCGGCGTTGGCAGGGCCGAGCGGCCCAGGCCGGGCGGAGGCAACGGGCAGCGCGCCACGCGCGTCCGCGCCCCCCGCGGCACCAGGCGGCCTGGCCCTTTAAGCGTCCGGACGGCGGCCCCAGCTGACGCGCGGGCTCCAATCGGCGCCCCGCGCCCCCCGCCGCCGCCCGCCCGAGGC